TCCTGTCTTGGCTTCCCAATCGCTGAATTATAGGCATGAGCCACTGTGCCCAGCTATATTTTTGAAGCTTTAAAAATGAAATTTTTAAAATCTCCTGACTTTCTCTCCCTTAGTGGATTCCTCTCTAAATCCTCAACACACAGTTTCTAATGTTCTCTTCTCTGAGAAATGTTTAGAATACCTCTTGTCTTTCCCTCTTCAATGAAGTTTTTTTTTTGAAGTTTTTTCTTTGAAAAGGTCTAACAAGTAAAATTAGATGAGCAGGATTTCCAGGTTATAGATATAAACAACTGGAAATTATAGTCAGAGCCGTTATCCATTGGACATCTCAGTAAAATTGAATTAATATTTTAATTTAGTATGCTCATAAAACTGTCTTCTAGATATTGTGATAAATAGATATATCACTTGTGATCTCTGTCACAAATATATTAACCTTTGTTTTGTTCATTTTGGTGGGAAAATTTTTTTTGTTTTCAAGAATGAGAATATTTTAACATTATTTAATTTTGCCAAACTAAATTTGTACTGGCATTTTCTTGAAATGTACCTTAAAAACCAAACACCACATGTTCTCGCTCATAACTGAGTGTTGAACAATGAGAACTCATGGACACAGGGATAGGTTTATGTAACACATAGTTTTCCAGGTAGCAGATTGTTTATAATAAATGTTTGTGAACATTACTGTTTTCGTTTTAGGAATAACTACTGTGAGAGATGGTCTCAGGTGATTTCAACAAGTTTTAAGTATCTTCTGCTCTATTATCTTTCATCCAAAGTTCAGCCATAATGTCATACTAAGAAAATCTTTATGTTGCATAAGAATTGCTCTGTGCACCAACCTGGGCAACATGGCTAAACCCTGTCTCTACAAAAAATACAAAAATTAGCTGGATGTGAAGTCACACGCCTATCGCCCCAACTACTTAGGAGGCTGAGGTAGGGGGTTGACTTGATCCCAGGAGGCAGAGGTTGCAATGAGCCAAGATCATGCCATTCCACTCTAGCCTGGTCCACAAAGGGAGACCCTTTCTTACAAAAAAAAAAAAGGAAAAAAAAAGAAAAGAAAAAGAAGTACTCTGTGTACACAGACCATCTAGCATTTCTGACTTTTTGGTGAAATATTTTGGGAACCTTAGTACCACTTTTCCTACTTCTGTTCTTTCCTAATGTGCAGTTTTTGAAGTGTGGTTCTTAAATGCCTTTAATATTTCCCACAAAAGCATACCAAAATGTATGACAGATGGGCAGAAGAACCTTAGTGTAAATATTCTGAGTCCAAGAAGGATGACCACAGCCTTTCTGACACATGTGTTTCCTTGAGTGGAGTGCATGTGGCATACACCTGTGCCTTCTTGCTTAGTAACAATTTCAGAGAACTATGCTTTTTTTTTTTTGGTTACAATCTGTACCTCCTAAAGCTTAATAGAAGAGCTTTTGCTAACTCATGTGATTATTTTTCTGTTATTTGCTTAGATCCTTACAATAGTCAATGTTTTGTTATTTTCAATGAGGGTTTAATAAATTTCTATGTACATAATCCTCTATATTACATGATAGGTACAAATAATTATACCATTTCTTTGTTTATATGGACAATGTAGACATGTATTAAACCATTGTTATATTGGAGTACATCAGCGAAATATTAATTAACCCTACGTGCCTTGGCATGCTGTAATCTGTTTTCTCCAGCTGAATTTAATATCTTTTCATCATCATAGGTGATCAGCAGATTTGCCAAGATATGTCTACTTGTGAATTTTCTTGTATTTGTCTGAAGTAGGACTCATTGTGCTTCCCGAGTCTATGAATTCCTATATTTCATCATTTCTGTGAAAATCCTCAGCCATTATTTCTTTAATATTTTCTCTTTTCCTTTCTTTCTATTCTCTCATTTTGGAATTCTAGTTATGTATGTTGGACTTATCTCTCTATTTCTCTTCATTTTCCTTTTAAACATTTCATTTGAAAATTTACTTTAGTATATTCTGGTATTATCTCAAATCTATATTCTAGTTTGCTAATTATTTCATAAGCTATACCTAAGTGCTATTTATTCTATCTATTATGTATTTAACTTTAGTAACTGCATTTTTTAGTTTTGGAAATTTTGTTTGGTTGTCTTTCAAACCTGATTTGCCCTTTTTAATAATGCCTTGCTTTTTTTTCTTATTTTTTAAATTCTTATATGTCTTTAGTAATTTTAAACAAAAATTTTGTTGTAATTTATTATCTATTATCAAAAGTTCTTGATAATGCATTTGAAAATGAGATTTAATTTTCCTCTTACTAATAAGGTTTTTTTTGGAGGGTATATAAAATAGTCTGTATTTGAGGAGCTTACCTTCAATGATCTTTTTCTCTGAGTATCCTTTTTGTCATTGAGGACATGTTTTCTAGAGAGGTTTTGCATCTGTTTCTGACAGATGCCCCAGGGTTATCAAGGTTCTGATACTACTGCTATATAAATAACTCAGAATGGGTACTCGAGGACCACCCAGGTAATAAAAGTTAGAGCCACTTAATACATAGGGAAATTTCCCATTATTTTTAATTTTCCAGGGAGATATTTGTTTTTTCAGCAAGCTCTCTTGCCAAGACAGGCAAACTTACTTATTCTTTTCTGTTTCTGAGGGATTGATGTTTTTCTGGACTTTCAGGGGCCCCAGATCTAGATAGGCAGCTCATTTAAAAATTCTTACCTTGTCTCAAATAGCTGTTAAAACTGTATTTCCTTGATTCATTAAGAGTGCTGACCCTCTCAATTTAGTGACCCTAAGGCCATTAACAACCTCAGTTAATACTTTGTGTTTGAGTTCCTTCTTTTGAATTTTGAACCTTAGACTGTTACATGGTAAAATATTGGTAGAATTTAATTCTTAATTGTAGTTATTTAGTGTTTCTTTTCTGTTTTTCTTTTGAATTCATCCCTGAAAAAATATGTGTGTGTGTGTGTGTGTGTGTGTGTGTGTGTGTGTTTGTTTGTGTCTTTTAAATCTGTGAAGATTTTTAATGATTTAAAAAAATATTTACCATTACCAGAGATATCATTAAATATTTACCAGAGATATCATAAAAGTTAGTACTATATGCCAGAGAAATTATAGTTTTGTAGGACTACTGACTTATTTAAATTTTGTTATTACTTCTAAGGTCAAAGATCTGTTATATTTTGCGTTACTCATTTATCACATGATGGAGAGAAATGTATAATATGGAAATGTGGACAAGTACCTTTTTTTCGTTGCCCTTGGTTAATGTTTGCTCTTATTTGATTCTCTGCCAACTTTTCCATTTTAAGGTATTTTTAATACATCATATATTTTAGCATTCCCCTATGAGAGCACATCAGATGTTACATTTTTCTCACATTGGTCATTTTATGGAATTTGAGCTATTAGGCTATAATTATGGTGTCTCTCAGGATCTCAACCCTTCCTCTATAGTCACAGATTTTAATACTTCTTCCTCTTACTCTCTACTCACCAGATCTCTTAATTCTTTAAAATTGACTTTCTTGAAATCCAATACTTATGTGTCATAGAACCAGATGATCCAATTTGCTTTTTTGGCAGACACCATATAGAGCTCTGCTCATTGCAAGTTTAACGAAAGACATTAGTACTCTCTGAGCTAGTCTGATAAAAAGAAAAAATGGTTTAGAAAGACTTAAATTTTAAGTAGGCTTTTTTATGAGATAATTTATGCCAATTCTCTGATTTCAACTTTATCATTTTATGATATAAGGGAATAATAAGGACATTTAAAAGGAATATTAAGTTAATACTTCGAAGGAAAATTTGAGGTGTGGCTTGCTAACAAAATATAAATGTATCTTACTTGATAAAATGAAAACTAAGAATTTACGTGGACTTGAAGATCAGTATCAGCACAAGCTTTGGTTTCTCAATAATGTTTTCCAGTTTCATCTTTTACCATGTACTTCCTTTGAAGTTATTAATAATTTTAAATGTCAGGTAAAAATATTCTGCTAAATAACTGATCAAAGCTGGAAATGTGTAAAGATGAATTAAAATAGGAGCCAAAAGCTGTTCTGGTGTCAACTTGATCTCCAGGTCCAGTTCTGGAGCCTTCATTCTCATTGTGTAGCCTTAGCCCAGAACTTAAACTTCATTTCTTTACGGATAATAATGGGACTATTAACAGTCCCTACTTCACATACAGGATTGTTTTGAGGAAGCATTTAGTATCTTACATGAAAACAGCTGGGCATGGTGGCTCAATGCTTGTAATCCCAGCATTTTGAGAGTCCTAGTCAGGAGAATTGCTCGAGCCTAGGAGTTCAAGACCAGCCTGGACAACATAAGGAGACTCTTTATCTACAAAAAATAAAAATAAACTAGCCAGGCATGGTAGCATATTCCTGTGGTCCCCAGCTACTTGGTAGGTGAAGGTGGGAGGATCACTTGAGCCCAGGAGATTGAGGCTACAGGGAGCCATGATCACACCACTGCCCTCCAGACTAGGTGACAGAGCAAGACCCTGTCTTAAAAAAAAATGAATTAAAATGGTTCTTAGACCTTAAAAAGAAACCAATTCAAAGATTAAAAGGGTATTCTCATGACCCTGATGAGGTCAGCAGTTATCAAATAGAAGGTCAGATATTAAAAATAGGAAATTAAAAATTATTCCAAAAAATAGTAAGATTATTGGTGGTAACAAAAGTGATATGAAACTATTTGCAAGAATAAAAAGAAGTAAAAATGTAAAAAGTAATTTATTGAAAATCCCTTGAATGATACTAATGTGAAATTGCTTAATTACAGCTAAATATCTCAAGATGTTTTCATGTTTTATAAATCTTATGGAATTGAAGTTAAGAAATGATTATGGTAAAATACACAAATAGGCACCCTCAAAATAATAATGTGATTTTGCCACACATGTTTATAGCACAAAGACTTGTACAGATTTAATGAAAATTATCTTTGAAAAAGATGAAATGGCTAATAATCTTTTACTCTGTCTTTTAGCATACGGCGGCATCAAGAAAGAAGAGCAATTTTGACCCCTATTTTGACAGATTTTTCTGTCCGAATAACTGGAGCACCTGCTATCATTTTCACCAAAATAATTTCTCCAGAAAACTTGCATTCTGAGGTTAGAACATAATTTTGATTTTATTTTAGTTTAAATAATGGAATCACTCCTCTTTGTATGTTAGGGATTTGCACACTTTCAGCCCATAGGACTTATTAGCTCATTAATAATAGCTACTATTGAGCTAATATTTATGGAGCACTTTGTAGTACTCTTCAGTTATTGCTTTCCTTGTAATAACTCATTTAATCCTCATAATAATCTTATTTGCTATTCCTGTTATCCCTGTTTTGTAGATGATGAAACTGAGGGATAGAGGAGCTAAACAAGCTACCCAGATTTTTAGAAATAGAGCAGGCAGTGAAACCAACTGGTATGACTCCAGCCACTACAGCCTCCTTTTAGTGAAAATAATGATACTGACAGATAATTACATTACCTTACATAGTGAGTTCTACATAGATTACCTTATTTAGTTTCACAACATTCTTATGAATTAGATACTATTAGTATCCATATTTTAAAGATGAGGAAACTAAGGTCAAAACAGATTAAGTAACATAACCAACATTAACTGGTGGATCCAGGTTTCAATTCTGATCACTGTGGTTTATTGTCTCCATGCCTAGAATAGAAATGTAATAATAATATTTTTTACTATAGCTAAAACAATTCCTCATAGAAATTTTTTATGCTAAACACATTATAAACTTTTTGCTCATTCACAAAATTTTGTCAGTTATAAAAAGTTTGAAAAATTTATATGTATGTAATACAAATTTTTTGTATATCCATAAAAGTTGTATAAAGATTAAGTAAACCTAATATTTTACAGCTACTAAGTAACACCATTGGCTTAGAATACATGAAACTCCTTATAATATGCTCTTTTTCATACTAATGCTGCTATAAAAATATGAATTAAGACTCACATATTAAAATCATGTTTAAGAAATGCTTCTGTGTGTATTTGACTCAAAAAAATGGAATATCATAATCATTTTACATTATTAAGATTGTTTTTTCCTCCAAAAATATTCTTTACTTAGTATTTGGATTCCCAGATACTTATCATTGAATTCAGAAACGAGGATAAGAATATATCAAAGTGTTGATGAAATATCCTATCTTAATTAAGTCAGCCTCGAAGGCATTTGAAGGCATAATTTGAAGGCATTATTAGAAAGGTCCTCATTCCCAGGTAAAAGAGGCAGGGAGCTAAAGGTCACGAAACCTAGTTCTAGAACAAGCTCAGCTTTATACTAAATGATACCGTCCTAAGCCATTTATTTAAATGTTTTTTTCCATCAATTTTCTTATGCATAACCTAGTTGCCTCATATATAGCTACTCCTCTTGCCCTCTAGATTGTTGTAAGGTTCAAACTGATCAATAGAAAAAATAATTATAAGAGGAATCTGAAAACCTAAAGTTTTATAAAAATAAAAATTATCCTTGTTTTTATGTTATTAGCTGCTGATTCTACCAATTACAGTCATACTATTTAACCTACTAATACAATAACAATCATTTGCAAGTTTTCACAGGATATATGTCACCAATAGAGCCAAGATATTTTTAGTACAAATTTTTATGCTCTTGGGTAATGTTACAGTGACTATTTTTTTTTAAATCCTGAATTGGCATACTTTTTTCCCTTTTTGTCAATACTTGAGGAATAGAATAAGAAGTCTAATTAGAGTGAATTAATATAGTTACTTTGTGAAGGAAAAAGTTATTTAACAAAAACAATTAAGGATAAATGTTTCAGACAAGCTGTTCTTTATGGCTTTATTAAAAACTCCTCTAAGTCTTTGGACTAGTCACAGTCTCCTTAAATCCATTCTTCTGGTTGATACTATAAGGAGAAGATCTGTTGCAGGACTTATTAAGCGAAGCTTCTGTATTGTTGTTTTGTTTTGTTCTGTTCTGTTCTGTTTTCCTTGTCTGAATGGTTTTCCAGTGATAAATGTTCAAGTAACTCAGTTTTGCAGAACAGCACCAATTATGTTGTGGACATCTACCCAATGCTGCCAAGATTTTAGCAGTTTGAAGAAATGAAACTAATTAGTCTAGCTATCTTTTGTTTCAACACTGTTTTTTTTTATAAATCATTTTGAGTATATCCTTTGGAGAAAACTCATACTGTAGCTCTTAGCAATTATAATTGCCCGCCTACAATTGTCTGTGTACATCTGTCTGTCCAACTAGATGATAACCTCATCAAGAGTAGGTTGCCCTTTAAGGCCAACCTTATTCTTTGTGATATTCCTAAGACTCTACTATTGTACCTAGTACTTAGGAGATACTCAGTAAGTTTGAATTCATGAACAAGATTATGCTACACAATTACATTGTTGCTTACATATTGAAAACAATAATAATTTGCAGTATGAAAAAGTCAAATAGGTAGGAAAAGGTGAAGACTTCTTATTGTTAGTTGTGTATATCTAGCACAAGGCCCAACACATAGCAGGCGCTCATAAATATTTATGAACTTTATCTGTTGTATTGTGTCAAGTGGCTGTGCTCACCTTTTTGCTCTTCTCATTAAAGTATGAACTTGAATCCTAGGAAACATCATCAAAGTAGTGAAGGTCAAATAAGTAAGAATAATAAATTATCATCTGAAGGCTATCATGTTTATCTGTATTCTACTTTTTTGCTTCAGGAGATTTTAGTGTGTGGCCATTCCTTAGAAGTGAATATAACCACAAACCTGGACTTCTTTCTAAGTGTGGCTCAAGTTCAACTCTTACATCAGTTAATAGTAGCAAATATGACTGGACTGGAACCATCAAACAAGGCTTCTGAGGTAACTTACCTGATTTTGATCAGGCTTACTGTACTTTACATTCACAGTAGGAAAACTATAATTAAGATAACTGCTTTCTGCTTAATTCTGTATTTAACTTTATTCAAAATCTAGTCATAAATCGTTTTGGATTGATATTCTTTATTTTTGAAGTTTGCATGGTCTTTATTCCTCTTATTTATCATGTACTTTTGCAAAATTGCTGTGGACTGACCTCAGAAGAACCTCTGTTATAAACATAATTTTATTACCCTGCTGAAATTCTAAAGTATGATGCGAGAATCCTGGTATAGCTTTCATTTACTCAGATACATTACAGTACTAAGGCCTCTTTTGGAAGTGAACTTTGTAAGAGTACTATGGGAATATCTTCAATAAATAACTTGTAAAGTATTCATTTCCCATGCTCAGCGGGAAATGAATGGACACAATCATAAAAGTTGAATGCCTGCCTAGAATTTTAATTTTGATCCGGTGTTCATTGGAAGCCTGTATTATAACCACAAAGTATGTCAGCATGAAACAAAGAAAGCTGTTTGTTAGATTCTTCTCAAGATATATATTCTTTGCATTTTGTTTCCACGTTTATCTAACATTCTGCACTTAGAATAAATATTTTATAAAAACTCAGGTGAACAAACTGCTTATATATGAAAAGGATGTTGCTTTTATTTTTGTCATGAGTTATAAAGCAGGCTTTAAGTTCTGTTTAGTAAGAAGGTAGGAAAGGAAGAGGAATTTAGGTCTTTCAAGTCAGCGCTATTTCCTCTCTGCCACAGATTGTGTACTGTAACTGTTACATTATTCTCTCAGTCTTCTTGATTATTAAAAGAATGTTTTTTAATGAGAAATCTTTTACCTTTTGTAAGTGGAGATTTTCTAATGTAATCCTCCTTTACTGCCCATGATATCTATTTATTCAATATCTATAGTAAAAGGACTTTAGAACTACATATTCTCCAAAATACTGACTTCTTAAATATACATTAGAGAATCCATAAAAATGTAATTATGTGACATCAAAATAAGCAAATTTTAAAAAGTATTTCCCCATACATTTTCGATGAAGCATATAAAGCAAACTGAGTTGGACAAAAGTAAATTACATTCCGATGTTATTGTGCCTATTTTATAAATCTCTCCTATCAAAGAAATCTAACTCCCAGATTACTGATTGTTTTAAGAATTCACATAACCTAGCAAATTGGTTATTAACTATTTATCTACATACTTTTAATGCCTCTTAGGGGGATCAATTTCAGTAAATAAAAAGATACTCAGAGTTACTAACTATCCTTCCCTGAATGTTGAATCATTACTGACAATTCTATGAACTGGATAGGCATTGTTTTCTTCTGCTTTAAAAAGATATCTGTAGCTATGTGTTTCATCTTAGAGATCATATTGGTAGCATAGACAATATGAACATTTTAAAGTGGTTAAAATGGTAAATTTATGTTATGTGTATATATCACAATTAAAAAGTACAGGCTTTAATGAGAAAGGACTGTTTGGCCCTTTTCCCAACTCTGGTAGGATATATCTGTAAAAATGTCAGTATTTTAGAAAAGACCTGCAGTGCACTGGAAGCATATGATTCCATTTTAAAATTATTAGCAGAACTCATACCTGATAGTCTATTAATATAAAGACATTTTCGTTATATAGAATGCTCTGTAAGAAGGCAAGGGTATATTTTGATAGGGCGAGTTGATAGGGTGAGTTTCACAACCACACTACCACAATTTTTTTTTTCTTTTTTGACAGAATCTCACTCTGTCGCCCAGGTTGGAGTGTCATCTAGGCTCACTGCAACCTCCACCTCCTGGGTACAAGCGATTCTCCTGCCTCAGCCTCCTAAGTAACTGGGATTACAGGCGCACACCACCATATTCAGCTAATTTTTGTATTTTTAGTAGAGACAGGGTATTACAATGATGAGTACTAGCTTGTCTCCAACTCCTGACTTCAGGTGATCCGCCTGCCTCAGCCTCCCAAAGTGCTGGGATTACAGGTGTGAACCACTGTGACTGGCCAACAATTTTTTTAAAAATTCTTTTTGAGAACAAAAGAAAAATAGGAAAATTAAACCTGGCTGAGTCACTGAGAAAATAGAGGAAGATGTATATGTTAGTATGTGCAGTATAATTCTGACATTATAAGCAACTACTATTTCATAGGAATGATGGAATAATAATGAGAATCCCATTTATCAGGATTTCTAGAAGGCACCCTGTGAATTATAGACCAGTGAAGGTCATATCTGTTCTAAGTTCACCATCTGATACTATACTGATGCAGTAGTTATGTAACATAGTACTATAAGAAGAAATTAGATATATTTAATGTAAAATATATATATATATATATATTTTTTTTTATTTTTATTTTTTTTAAGTAGGGATGGGGTTTCACCATATTGCCCAGGCTGATCTTGAACTCCTTGCCTCAAGTGATCCATCTGCCTTGGCCTCCCAAATTGCTGGGATTACAGGTATCAGCCAACATGCCTAGCCTAATGAAGTATATTTTTTGAAGTTGTTAACATTTTCAGACAACCTTTGGCAAGATTTATTTGAAAGATTAATTTTGGCTGGATGCATAGTAGCTCACACCTGTAATCCCAACACTTTGGGAGGTTGAGGTGGGTGGCTTGCTTGAGCCCAGGAGTTCACAACCAGCCTGGGCAGTATAGTGAGACCCCGTCTCTCAAAAAAAAAATAAAAAATAAAAATTAGTTGCATGTGGTGGTGCATGCCTGTAGGACCAACTACTCAGGAGGCTGAGGTGATAGGATCACATGAGCCCAGGAGGTTGAGGCTGAAGTGAGTTGTGATTGTTCCACTACACTCCAAGATGGGCAACAGGGCAAGAGACCCTGTCTCAAAAAAATACAGGAAAGATTAAAAATTATTCAAGAATCATCAAGCATAATGTCACTTGGGAGCCTGAGGTGCAGGCAGATTGCTTCAGCTCAAGAGTTCAAGACCAGCCTTGGCAACATGTCAAAACCTGATCTCTACCCCAAAAAAAACAAAAACAAAAATTAGGCAGGCATGGTGGCACATGCCTGTAGTCTCCACTACTTGAGGGGCTGAGGTAAGAGGATCACTTGAACCTAGGAGTGAGCCAAGATCATGTCACTGTACTCCAGCAAGGTAACAAAGTAAGACCCTGTCTCAAAAAAATAAAAAGTATAATATGATAGGGGGATTATGTATTAGTGGAGGAAACATCTACACAATAAAAAAGGGGGTAAAATGGACATATCTTTAGAACTAGAACTGAAAACTGTAGGATAATCTGAGGATTTTTGCTAGAATCAATATTTAATATTAATTTTAATTAAAAAGACAACAAACACATAATGAAATTTACAAGTTCACAGCCAGAATGACTGGGTGATGGGTTAGGAAAATTGCCTCCCATGTTAAACAAAAACTTTCCAACATTTTTGCTCTGAAAAATATGTTTTAGATGGGGTGAAGCCACTAGACCAATGGCCTGTATTTGTACTATTAGATTTTCACTGTCCCCTTCAAGTTCTATAATGTCCATGATTTCTAGCTCCCAGAATATTTACTTTCTGCCTTTAAATGAACCGTATTTCTCTATACATGCAGGTTGAGTCCCTTATCTGAAAACTCAAAATTCGAAATGCTTCACTGAGTGTTTTCTTTGAGGGTTACATCATGTTCATATTCAAAAAATTTCAGATTTTGGAGCATTTTGGATATTTTCGGATTAAGGATATTCAAACTGTGTTGTGACAGGCTGAGAAATTACATAAAAGAAACAGGAATTTAATATTCAAAAACCAAAATGTATTCCATATTACAAAGTACATGTTCTTCCTTATCTAGCTTACTGTAGTAGTTCACCACCCCATGCTATAATTCATGCCTCTGTGACATCTGGTTCTAGAGAGGCATGAATTAAAACTCTTACATCTTAGTTCCCTGCCATTTACATGAGGTGAAAGTCAACCTTTTAGATACCTTAACAGCCAAAGCCAAATTTATAATTTGAAGTTTACTCCCCAAACAGAGCTCTACTACTCAACCTTGATTTCTTTCCCAGCGTTTAACAGGGCTATGGTTGACACAATTGGTTTACCCTTCAGAAGGTTCTTTACCTTCTTACAAGATAGTCTTGGTCTCATAAAGGCCCAATTATGTAATCATGGCCATTAGCTTATTTATTATATTATGGTTTTATTTTTATCCAATTAGTAAATGAATTTTAACAACTAAATTTTGCTAATGAAATATATCAAAATAGCACCAATCCCTGATATCCCTTCCTCATCCTGCCCAACAGTTAGCCAGTGTTTATAAGCTGTTTCCTCAAGTATTTATCTCCATATTTCTAAATAACCTGAATGGACTATCATCTTTTGATGCACTATTACCGTATTCACTTGCTATAAATTAGAGTTCCATCTGTGTAATTTACTTGTTATAAATTAGAGTTCCATCTCTTCTGCATTTCCTTTCTACACTTCCATCTTCCCAGTATTCTTATATCATATTCTTTGTCAATTTTAATTGTTTTCCTTATAAAGATGATGTAAATATTGTTCATTGCTTAGTGAAGTAATATAGTGTGATAATATGTCTGGCTAATATCTACTTGGATATTCTAATTTTTTTATAAAATAGAAAATAATTCATTGGGCTTTTTTGTTATGAAGTGTCATTGAGCTTATGCCATATGAAGTGATGTTAGAGGTTATTTTGGGTGGTATTACTAATATTTTAACTTGGAAGTAATGTGTTTTGTAGTTGTGCTTTATTTTAGGAATAGAAATTCTTGTCTTTTAGTAGAAAGTAAAAAATTCTCCAAGATATCCTTGACCAACCTAAGGATTGCCAGAAATAATTAGAAATAGAAACTTGAAGGTAAAGAAGAAGGAAAGGGACTTTAAGTGCATTGTAGTCTAACAACAGATGTCTTCTGGAATAGAATTTTAGGTAAGATGAGGGATATAGAGGAAATGA